GCCACAGCGCCTGCGCGAACTTTCGCGCCTCCCGGAAGTGACGATCACGCCTAGCGGGGAGGCGGGGCTTGGCAGCTATAGAGACGGGAGCGGGGCTGCGGGCGATGAGGTCACGCGGAAGCCGTTGGTCTCCGCCCTCTCCCGTCACCCCTGGCCGTTTTGACGGGAGAATGGGCGAGAGGAGAGTTGGGTGGGCGGGGCGGCTTTCCCTCAGGGACACAGCTGTCGTTGCGATGACGTCAACGTGACGTCAGTGGCGTGGTCACAGCTGTACTGCTGTGGGCACACAACGGGAGGGACGTGTCAGGGAGGAGCGGCGACGTTCCCGTGGCACATGGTCACGCCAACGTGGTAGGGAAACGGCCTCGTTGCATCGGCCCAGCACAATGTGGGGATGCGTCGACATGACATCAGCAACGTGGCGCGGACTGTGATGTCACCGTGCCATACGTCAACGTGACATCCGTGACCGCCTCCCTAGGACGTAATCATGTCACGGGCCAACGTATCGGCGTGCTGTTATCGGTCCCTGAGAGGCCCCCCCGCCACGTAGCATGGTCGGAGGCTGTGATATTACCGCCCCTTGCACGGCAAGTCGCATTGACGAAGGACGCGCCGGCGTGGGGACACGTTACCCCGTGTCGCCAGGTGTTATCAGTGTCCTCGTCGCTGTCGTCCTCCTCACACGCGGTTGATGTGCTGCCAGCGTTGAAGTCTCAGGAACGGCCGTGCCGGCGACGTAGCATGGTCGGAGGCTGTGATATTACCGCCCCTCGCACGGCAAGTCGCATTGACGAAGGACTTGCGTTAACCCGTGTCGCCGGGTGTTATCAGTGTCCTCGTCGCTGTCGTCCTCCTCACACGCGGTTGATGTGCTGCCAGCGTTGAAGTCTCAGGAACGGCCGTGCCAGCGAACGTCGCGGCCACAAGATCCCACCACCAATCTCGTCTTAACCGCGGGCAAAGATTCGGCCAGGTTTGATGTCCACGAGCGCAACTCTAATACGTTTTGGCCAAAGAAGTCCATCGGGCCTGGCGTACCTGTGACGAGGCGGTCAGCACAATACCACGCAGTTCCCAGCCCTCCTTCGACACAGCGATCGAAACACCTTCCCTATCGCCGTCCATCTGGATCTTGAACGTCTCAAAGTGTCCCGTACAACGGGCTTGTTTCCCGTCCTGATCTGGGCATTTCCGTTTCAGCCTTATTGTCCTGAAACGGGACTATCCTACACCTTGTACGGCCAGCTCCCCCTTCCATCTTCCGGCAGGAACGCCCACGCGGCCCACGTGCCGAGTTTTGCTACACGTAAGGAGTTCAGCATCGGTCAGGTTTGCAGGGCAGGCCTGCTCTGACCAATGCTTTGGCCAAGTCTTTGGGAGCAGTAGACAGGCAGTCCTCGGACTTACGACGCAATCGGTTCCTGAAAACGGCGTCTTCAGTTGAAGCGTTGCAACTCGGAACCAATTTTCCCATAGGAAACAATGTTATAAACGGGGGATTGGTTCCTGAACCAAGCCCCGGTACCCTATTTTCACCAGAAATAACCAGGAATTTTGTATTCAATCAATTATAGAGGAGTAATATAGCTACATTCATATATTTGTATTGTAAATAGCAATCATATTGATTTGGAAAGACTTCTTTGAGGTGACTTGGCTGGACTTTTTGAAGGGTTCTTGGCTGGACTTTTCTTGGCTGGAGTCTTCTCTGGAGTCTCATCCGCTTTCTTAAAGAAAGCGTCCAAGGAAGTTTGGACAGATGTTCTCCAGGGAGATGGGCGACGCAGCGAACTTGTTCGCTGACGTGGCGTGGCGTCGGATCAAGCATTGTAAAGTCGAAACCGATGTCAGAAAGTTGAAACAGTGTCAATTTATAAACGTTGTAAGTGCGAAACGTTGTAAGTCGAGGACTGTCTGTATATTGATCGATGTTCCAGTCAGTATATAATGTTAATACATTATGTTAGTTTAATGCATCATCAGGTCCCATCAGTGGACATTATACATGATACATACATTCTACATTATTACATTATATATGTATATAATATAATGTTAATGATACATTGGAACAACACCACCACGTCATCCCCCGCACCATGAAGTGACGCACCGTTGTGAAGTTAGCGATATGTTGTTGATGTTGTTATGCCATAGCGTGACCGGTTGGCCGGATATCAGGAATACAGCAGAGCTCCAGTGTGACCATGCCACAAAGCAGCAGACCATACACCTGTTGAGAAGTGATATTTATGTTATCCTTGCACCTCTAGGTGCCATGGGTTGTGTATTGTTTCAGTGCTGTATGATGCAGAACAGTGCAGAAAGCTCTCAAAGAGAAGGGGTTGCTCACATGTAAATCAGATTATAAAGGAAAGTAAAAATAGGAACAAGTGGAAGTCTCAGACAGGAAGTAAAATATTGGTTATGACACCTGTATCTCAAAAGTAACTAATTTGCTTTTGTCTTATCTGACTTTAACCGTTTTTGATGTACCGGTGAATTGCCCATCGAGAATGACGGATGGATTTCAAATAAAAACACAGATTTTACTTTTTATATTTATTAAATAAATTAAATATTTATAAAACTTAAATAAAATAGGCTGAACATTTGAAGATACCAATCCCTTCCTGCACTTGCTGGAGGTGTACTCACTTATGCTGCCACCGCTTGAGCACCTCTTTGCTGGGCAAGGGCAAGGGCAAGGGCAGGTGAGTTTTGCGCCTCGCAAGAGCTGCCCACGCCCTGGTGCTGGCTCCATGCTGCCCCCGGGTGCCTCCTTCCCTGCTTGGGGCTCAGGACAGGGCTGCTGCTGCTTGCCCACTGCTTTGCACCTCTGCCCGGCTCCCGCTTTTCCTCAGCTGGCCCCTTCCTCTGCTGTCCCTACCTTGCCAGGCTCCTGGCACCCTCCCAGGAGGAGCTCAGTAGAAACAGCCCTGGCCCCTGACTTTTTTCCCAATTCTGGAAGTTGGGATCGTCCTGACATGGTCACTAAACAAATGCTAAGGTTTAGCAAAGAAATTTTCTGAAGACACAAATGTTCTCTCTCTCTCAGTTTTCAAGCTATTCACATTTAAAGAGCGTTATGAACAGGAAGACACAGACAGATGGACTAAGCCCTTTATATATATATATATACGTTAGCCCTCTTGAGTTTGCTGGATTGTAAGTTAGGCCTTGAATATAACAAATCGAGTATTACTCATTGGCTTGTAGCATGCTTGTTTCCACCCAGCAGTGATACCAACACCATTTCGGTACAGGGCATGGACAATACACAATAGCACAGTCATCTGAATCCATGCCATTTTGGCCATGCAGAATTGCAACTCCACTGGTGCTGGGTTTTTGGTTGTAGCCATGTTGGTCTAAGAAGAGACACTCGATGCTGTTTTACATTGGTGCAACTTCATGTTTTGAACTGAAGCACTGATACAAGGATAAAGTTATATAAGTTTATAGCATCATCATTCCCTATGATATAAGGATGTTCCCATATGACAGGATGAACGGGTGATGTATTGATGGTACAGTATGGTGCTATTAAAACGACATGACTTTCCATGCAGCAGAGTGAGGCACTAATGGGACCTGATGATGCATTGGTTCAACATTGTGCTGCTTTGACAATGTTGTATTATCCTAACAGTGATATTGTGATATCTTGACACAATGCAGTATTTTTAAGGTGAGAAATGCAGGTTAAGAACTGGAAGACTAAGACTACAACTTACAGAGGAGCTGAGCAGAGGGATCCAGAACAGCACCTGGCCAGAGTACACATACTGTGCAGTGACAGCTGTGCTAGCTTACTAAAGAAAGGACGTTAACTAAAGAAAGGAGCAGCAGCTGCATAGCAGAGTGAATATCATTGGATTAACTGATTTATCTGGAGTATTATGGAATGGAACCATGCTCAATTTTTCCCTTACTTCCTGCTTATTTATTGAGTGTCCTTTTCCTCAGTTTGCTTGAGATGCGGGTAAAGACAGCAGCAAAATTGCACCTGGAGGAAGCTGTTCATTGAACTGAGCCTTTACAAAAGGCTGGCCACAGTAGGCACATAGTAAGAAGACACCATAGCCCAAAATAAGGAAAGAAGGAGAAGAGGTGGTGGGGCAAAGGCTAGAACTGTAAAACCAGCTCACTGGGCAGTATCTTGTGTAATCAGAAATTTTCAGTTGTTTTGGCTCTTTTGGCCCTTTCCCAACCATTACAACTTTTGGCCCTTTTGGCCCTTTCTCAACCGTTACAACTAAAGCAACAGAAGCACAACATGGAAAAAAGAATTTGCCTGGGAAATGATGGGTCCAGTCTTATAAGATGCTGAATAAGCACTTTGTGCTCCCAGGGCCCCCAGAAGGAACTGAGAGCGCTCAGCCTAATACAGTCCAGGCCAAAAAGACCTAAACGTAAAGTATGGGAAACATGCAATTTCACAAGATTGTCCAGCAAGCTTTCTTTGTGCTTAGACCAGCCATCCATGTTACCATGGTTCTGAGGATGATGTCATTAACGTATTCTGACCATTTCCTGTTACAGCTTCCAAGACGAGTCAGTGTCAACAATAGGTTACCAAGGCACTACGTTGCATCTTAACCTCCTTAATCCCATGTCCTATGAGAAGGAACACTACTGTCCTCTGCTTTAATCAACTAAACTGAATGGGATTTTCATTTCTTTCTTTTTCGTGGCTTTATTTACATAAAAGCCCTCTAGATGCCAACCCCAACCAAGAACAAGATTACAAGGAGCATGACGAGGATGCTGACGGCTTTTATGGAGATGTAGGGCAAATCCTGCTTTCCTATTGCATTGGGATTGTGGTTATCACTCTCATCTACCGTGTTTATATTTGGGTAAGGTTATTATTCTATTAACTATTTTTATTGTGCAAACTCCTATAGGCTTGAGCCAGGGATCAGGACTCCTTTGAAGGTCATATGCTCGCAGATCACAAAGAGATTATCCAGGCCCAAAGAGCTAATAATTTTAAGTAGATATTATTATTGTTGATACAGTGGTATAGGACTAGCACCTATCACATGCTGTGAAGGGAGATCAGAATGAGAATCCCAGTCCCAACGTGCTGCTGCTGATTTTTATACATCATAGACAAAATCTTTACTCATTCCATACTAATGGCATTGCAACAAGCCACTAAAAAGAATGGACACATATATAAAAGCTGCATCAGGGATAGCTGAAATGCTCTTATTTTTTCTTATAAAATTAATGTGTTTATATCATTATTAGTTAATCATTGGTAGCCAATAATAAATTGAGTTGTGACAGTGGGGAGTTTAATTGGATGGCTCCAGGAATTAGTGAGAGACAGCCCTTCACCTGCGTACCTGATTCGGGTCTATCTCAGCTTTGTAACAAAAAACATAAATTATCTGCTAGCCCGCACAAAATGAGTTTGGGGTTTCACAGGATCAGAGCGCTCATTATTCCTCTTATTGGAAGTCTCAGCTGAAAAGAACCTTTTAATTCTCTTCCTATTACTGGCAAGTTTCTTCTAGAGCAGCGTTTCCCCAACTTTTTGGATTTATATCCCACCATAGTAAACCTACATGCTCTTGTGCCCCGTGCCCCAGCTGCTAAATTTCATTTGATGCTTTTGTGCACACACAACAATCACACTGCTCATATTGCCCTTCCTTGCACCCCCTCTCCCCCAGGAACCTTTCGTGCCTCTCCAAGAGGGCAAATCCCACAGTGTGTCATAGAGGAACAGCCATGGCAGGCACAATTGAGGTACAGCCATCAGGCAATGTTTTTTGTGCCACTGCTGCCAGAGCTAACCTATTCTATGGACAGTAGAATTCAATCCCGTGGGCAATCAGGATGGTACTTGTCACTAGCTTGCAAATATTTTTAGAAACGGCGTTATACATTATCTACCAAGTAGGCACCATTTATAAATCCATGACATTTATTCATGTTTTCCTGAAACAGATTAGCGAGAGAAATGAAGATGAAGAACTGCCTTCTGACAAGTGGACTAGCAACCCAGATGGTAAATACGCATTCTACAAAGCTTCCAAAAGTGTTTGAAACAAGGGGACTAATGCTTAAGAAGTAAATGTGATCTCTAGAGAGGTGCTTTTAATCTTTAGAGAGTAATGTATGCTGCATCACTGAGGCCCCACTTGAAATAATAGGTGAAACTCTCTCATTTAAACCCCAAAAGTAATACCCCTCATTTTCAGTGGCATGATAAGAGGAGAATTTTCCTCAGTGCATGCAGATGTGGACATCTCACTATTGAAAAGTTGTGATAAAACAGAAAGAGTCCAAATAAGAGCAACAATGATAAGAAAAGGAAGGTCAATGTAAAGCAATTGTGGTTACAGGAACTTAAATAATCTTAAAGCAGGGGTTATATGAATGTACTAGTCTCATTCCTGGAAAAGAGAATTAGACTACACGAGACTGCTTGCGTAGGACTCGTTGTTTTCTCACAGATGGCTTGTTGGTCATCCTATAGCTTCCACAATACCTTCCTCTGGGTTAGACACCAATTCGCTCATACAGGACTTGCCAAATTTACCTGCAGATACCATTGACTGTATTGGGTTATACACCTCCAGGCTGTCTGCAGATAGAGAAGGGGCTCCGAAAGATGCGACAAACTATTTAAATTTGGTTTGCAAGATGCATACAAAGCTTTACTTTTTACACGGCAATGCTGCTTCTTCGTGGTTCTCATTTGAGACACCTCTCTTCTGCCATTTTGCCACAGTGAGGATTGTGTGTGGACTCTGTGTCCTTCCTTCTTCCCCTGGACTCATGTGCATCATCTTTACTAATACAGAACAAGCGGCCCCTGGCCGGCCTGCCCTGAGACTAGTTGATGTCTGCCAGCACAGGTTGGCAATCTGAATCCTCAAGATGTATACCACAAATGATGAAGGGAGCTGCAGCACTGCTCTTATTTTTTGTGTGTCATAAAGCAATAAAGCAAGAGGAGGGTTAATCATTTTAACAATTCAGTAGAAAAACTTTGAAGGATATAAACTCTAGGCCAAATTGTCCTCTCTACCTGGGTTATTTTCCACACTGAAAACTGCAGATTCTCTTGTGATGTTGTCCGCTCTCTACCGGAAGTTCATGATGCCTGACTCTTTCAAAAAGAAGAGGAGGAGAGTTTGCTTCCCATAGAACAGCATGGGTTTAGCCCCCAAAATCTATAAAGTCCAGGGCCATCAATGTGTAGTCTGTGTGTTGCATTGTGTGTCTTTGCTGTACTCTTATAAATTGTGGCGTAGGGGTTTGAAGGAGATGGTTCATACCAATGGGGCAATTGTTGCACATCAATACAGACAGGATCCATCCATACCTTCGCCTTCCTTTTAGTGTGAAAGTGATGGGTAGCATTGGGTCGTATCAATGGGAGAAGACCTATTTGAAGCTGCCTGAGGACCCATCACAGAAAGCAGTGACTTCAAAGCAAAGCAGGACAAATTAGGATTAGATCTCAAGGCTTCTCAAGGGAAGCACTCTCTAATGTGTTCTGAGCTATCGGGATGTTGTTCTCACCCAGTGTACCTACTGTTGTCTCTGAGGACATATTTTTACATCAGTTTTGCCTTCCCCCATGCTTCTCTATGCCTTCAAAGGTAGGAAAACTGAAGACATTACAAGTAAGGGTCAATGATGGTTACAGTGCAGTTAAGCTGTTTTTTTCTGTCTCGCGTTAGTTCCCAGGGAATCCAGCTGTATGCGTCACTGCAAGTTCAGCCTCTGGGACTTTGTCAGCAAGTTTTTCAGCTGGAAGAACAAAAAGCCTGTCCTGTTTTCAGAGGTACCTACAGCCGGGTACCCCTTAGAAGGGAGGCCGGAGAGGTTTTTCACAAAGCTCAGCCAGCTGAACATCCCTGACAGCCACTCCTCGGACACAGACAGCGAGGACTGGAACTCAGGTGCATCCTCATGGAAGGAGAGCGAGACGGAAAACATCCCCAGCACCGACAGCCGTTGGCAGAAAAAGGCAGGGCAGAAGCAAAGGAATGTGGGGGACCCCTGGATCAGGGAACAGCCCTGTCTTCACTGCAAAGCCAAGAGGACAAGGCAATGGCTGTCCCAACATTTCTTCCATCCTGTCTCATCTCTTCCTGGGAAGGGTAACCCACGAGAAGAGAACTGCTGCTGGGGAATTAGCACATGATATGCTTAATTTCTGAGTTTTATTTGGGCCCTTACTTGATTGAATCCATTAGAGGGACAGAATCTAGGTGAAAGCACAACACTGAGGGAGTCATTTCAATAAAACTTGACTACAGACAATAAATGTGCCCAGCACAATATACTGACTGATGTATGTGTAAGGGCATTTATTTAAAAATATAAATGGCTTTACTAGGCATGGCTTGGTTAAATACATCTCTTTCCACAGTGGGCAGAACAGAGTTCCTCCACCTTAAATACAGTGGGACATATTAATTGTGGAGCAAAGGTGATGGCAGAGGCTCTGCTGATGTACCTGAGTAAAGTGGGACACGTTGGCTGCAACCTCTGTCACTGATAGAGGACCAGGGCAGTGGAATTTGACTTTTGGGGACCTTGCACAGAGGTTAAGACTCCTATTCTTCATTGGACAACCCCATTAAACATTACGGCAATGGAAAGGGGGTGGGGGGCCTGGGCAAATTGAACAGTTTATACTGTTAAAAAGCCGCCCTAGTGGGCTGTTAGATACCAATACAATGCCAGAAGTGAGCAGTTCTTGCCGAGCCTGCTGGTGGAGCTCCTGTGTATCTCCAATAGGAGTTAAGCTGCTCTCAGCTTCATTCGTGGAAATCTCCTTCTGCCAATGTGAATCTCTTCTTGGGGAGGAGGGACCTTTGTGGGCGTCCACTGGGGTCACTTTAGCTCAGCGTGACAGAATGGTAAATATCCTGAGAGGAGAAATTAAGTCCCTATCTGTGCATGACCTTGAGAGTTATGATATATGTGGGAATTTATTCATATGGGGATTCAGATATCACTTTCCGGGAAGAGAAGCCCATATAAATACAAGCTTTCTAGACCACCAATCTCCTGTTTCTGGTTAGTCCTTCTAACATGAGGCTGCTGTTGTTCGTCAGCGCCCTCCTTGGGGCTGCCTGGTGCATGGAAACATTTTCTGGGTGAGTTATATTTTAGTAGAAGATCTCTGTTTCAGAGGACATGTTTTTCAGAATTTTTTCCTTGTTCCAGACTCTTAGTTAATGCAGTCAGTTTAAGGCACATGCTTTGCTTTTCACTATTGATCAGCTTTTGCAAAATATCATCTCCGTCCTTCCTGCGCACCTCACCTTTTACTCCGAGGGCATGTCTACACATCGCTGTATGGCGATGTTTGTACTGTGCTGTGTTAGTACTCTCTTGGGGGAAGTACTAAAACATGGTGCAGTAGCCGCCCGTATTGCAGTGTATGGGTGGCACACAGTTAGATTTACCAGCTACGTTACCACAACGGTGACATAGCTGGCGATCATGTGTAGACTCACGTGATTGCTATGTCACTGTAGCACGCCATATGGCGATGTAGCACATCACTATGTTGCTGTACAGCAACATGTAAACACTTCCACTGGGATCATGAAACAGTTGTGACACCCAGGGCACATCTACATGAGATACCTTAATGCACAATGGACTATTCTATTGCGCATTAATGTCACAGCAGAAACCATGCTAATGCACAGTAGAATTAGTCTACTGAGCATTAAATGTCACAAAAAACTCATTCGCCTTTGCTACTGTGCATGAGCACAGGTTAATGCACTTTTATGTAGTACCTCATAGTAGAGGTGCTAAACTACCTTTATGTAGTACCTCATAGTAAAGGTGCTAAACTTAATGCACAGTAGCTAATGTGCATTCATGAATGTGTGGACATGCCCCCAGTTTTTCAAAAGGACTAAAAGCCATATAATGTATTTAGATACACGCTAGAAAACATGATGGTTTTGGTGTTCAAGAGTCTGAAAGAAAGCTTTTATTTTGTTTTGATCAGAGTTCACAAGCGAGATGGGTCTAGTCTATAGAGTTTGGGTACGGATCCAAATTTCCTGAACTTTCAAGCTTGCTAAGGCTTTTGCTTTACCTTACTGCATGGAGGGATAAGCCTCAAAAGGCTGGATCTGGACCTGGATCTGAACAACACAACAACGCATAATGTTCAGTTCTGTGTATTTGACCTAGTTCTTTCTAGAAACAGAAGCAATTTCCAATGAAGCAATTAGAATTTCATTTCAGTGCACAGGGGTGTTAAGGTTCAGTTTATTGATCCAGGACCATCTCTTATTCACAGCCCCTTGAGTTTTGGTTATTTGGAGGGGAGGGGGGAAGGGAGTGGGGGTTGAAATTCTAGTAAGGCAGAGAAAAAAAGTGAAACTCAAGTGAATCTACCAAGTTTCATGTCGTTTTAACATAAAATTATGATCTGTCTGCAAGTTCACTCAGACTTGCCCCCAGGATTGAGCTGAAGGTTTGTGATCTTTGAGCAAAACTTTTAACAAAAACCAGTCTGTGTTTGCACTCAGTCTGCTACCTGCCTGTTCCTTTCAGTCCCAGACCTTTGCAAAATTCAGATTTAGCCACATTTTTCAAGCATGAAGATTGCATAACCTGTTCATTTTTTTTCTCGCTAGTTTCATTGAAGAATCTTTTTTTTGTATAAATCTTTAATCTTTTTTTAGGAATGTACTAAGCAATTTGTATTGAAAATATCTCTGTAGGCTTCAGTGAAACATTGATCATCAGTATGCATATTGCTGACACAAAGGCTCTGCTAAGGACTTTGGCCAGAGTAGGCCTGATCAGTGGACCTGACTAATGCCTGAACTCCTCACATAAGCAAAATTTGGCATGTGGGCCAGATGTGCACCCTGTCGGGGGATGAGGAGGAGATGGCTGTACAAGGTATAGAATAGTCCAGTACTGGGATGATAAACCTGAAACAGGAACACGAGGTCTGGATGTTGAACAAGCCCATGGTACAAAGCGGTTCAAGATATTCAAGATATTAGTGGAATGTAATATGTCATTTGTTTTGATCACTGTATAAAAGGATCATTAGAAATTATGGGAACTTTGCACTGGCCTAGGAAAGCCTACATGGTGATGTGCCAATACCTTGTCACGGGCATACACGCAGTGTGTCAGATCACAAGTGTATTAGGGCTGTGCCTTTGCCACCAAACTGAGCCTGTGGTCATTCTTTAAGACAAGACTGGTGTTGGGATCTCCTGGCCGTGACTTTTTGCCAGTACAGCAGTCCCTGAAATTTCAGCCCTGACAACACATCGATAATACCCAGTGAGGGCAGCAACGACAATAATCTCATGAAACTAAGTTTAACATATGTATTCACATAGAAAATGTGTGAATAAATTAAAATGTAAATTAAAATGTATCTTCTCCAGGTGTATTGCTCTGAAATCTCACTGAGTACATAGGAACCTGAATAGAATATGGTGAAAAATGTGGTATTTGTTCACTAGGATGTGGGACATAGACACCAGAGGCCAGTGAACAAACCTCCACATATAACAAATACCTCCCTCAAAATAATAAAGGACTACAATATATGTAGCAGCATACCTGAGAGCTGATTTTAATAGATTTTTAAGGTCAGAAGAGCTCAAGTCTGGCTTCTGCATAGCACAGCCCACGGGACTTCCTTGAATTGATTCCTGCTTCATATCCAGTAGCTGTGATTAAACTGGATTATGCCTTTTGATAAAAATCTGATCTGGATAGAAACATTTCCAGGGGTGGTGAATCCATCACAGCCCTTGGTAAATTGTTCCAATAGCTATCAAATCAGAAATAAGGCTATAGCAGTATGCTTGGAGCTCACTTTCATACTGATCCTTCAGTTTTTCTGAAGGCTGCTGCTTTCCAGGACCGAGTTCCTTATCCTGTAAGTATGGCTGACATTTTCTATTTCTATTGTGATTCATCGTACATTTTTCTACATTGAAAAATATCTTGTTTGCGTGTGCCAAACGTATCAGATAATTCAGACCACTCTATTTCAGTGATTTGCTTTCTTCTTAATCTAATACTCTTCCCTGTGCTTGTTTCATCTGTGAATTTTATCAGGAATTATTTAATACTTGCTTTCAGGTCATTGATAAAAATTGTAAATAGCGGAGAGCCAAAAAATTGATTCCTGAAGAACATCACTAAAAACACACCTGTCCAATGACAATTCCTCCTTTACAATTAAGAGGCCTATTAGTTGCCTCCTTTTTAATCCATTTAAGAGGGGTCATGTCAGTTTTGTAGTTTTTTAAATCAAGCTATTGTGTGGTACTGTCAAATGTCTTTTAAAAAGCTAGGTATCCAGGTTGCAGCCATAGTAGTCTAGAGGAAAAAAGCAACCAGGACTTGTGGTAGAGGTGATATCTTTTATTAGACCAACTCAATTTTTGCAAAAAAAAAAAAAAAAAAGCTTGCAATTAAAGATGTTTTTTTGTTGCAAAAATCTATTTGGTCTAATAAAAGATATCACCTCTACCATAAGTCCTGGTTGCTTTTAGGGTAGCGAGGCATATCAATGCTTTTGCCATATAATCTCATAAAGAATGATATCAAGTTAGTTAAATTATGTCTGTTTCCCATAAACTATGACTACGGTGGGTTTTTTTGTTTGTTTGTTTTTTAAATAGAGACCAGGTTCTTCGAATTAGGGCAAGCAGTGATGACCAGATTGACAAGTTACAGCTGCTAGAAACACTGGAACATCTTCAGGTGTGTCATTAGATCTGCCCCAGGCATTTTTAATGTTACAAAACATGTTCTGCAGAGCATGACTGTGCTTCCTTTTAGGTTTGGAAAGGGCATACCATAATATGGGCTGCATTGCCAAAAAAAAAAAAAAAGTAATAAGTATTGAACTAGAAGAGGTTCAATGTAGACCTCATCGCACCTGCTTGGGAACCAGGAATAGGACTATGTCGCATCTCTCCTAACCTTAAGCAAGTCACTTTAAGCCCCTATGCTTCAGTTCCCTCATTTTTAAATGAGAGTAATAATAATTTCTTTGTCTCTTAGTGGTGTCATGAGATTGAATTAGTTATCTTTTTTGTGTTTTGAAAAAAAGCAAGTCCAGCATAAAATAATAAGGTTTATAGATTTCATCACCATTGACAAATTATCACCATTATTTATTTAAACTCAGTCTAGTGCATTAATTGGCATAGTATATATGCAAAATAAAGCATGCAGGAATGTAAAAGAAGCAAAAGTAAGGTGTTTCGTGTCGCATAGTATATATGGAGCTTTTTTAAAGCTGGTGCTGGGAAGGAGAAAATAGAGTAGTCATAATAGATTTGGGATTAAATATTTGTTATATGCGCTGGAAGTTAATTAAAATGCTGGCTTTAATTTCTCTTTGAAGCTTTCTTCTCCATGTGACATGAAGACAACAACATTAACCTGTAACAAGGGTGTTGTGAGGCCAAATGAACTATTATTTATATAATCATTTGAGAGGCAGATAATGAATTATGCTGTAAATGTGAAATGATACAAGCTAACTAAGAGTTAAATGCATTCAAGGCTTTAAGGGGTATAGGTTGTAGCCGTGTTGGTCTAAGGACATGGGCAGGCAAGTTTCTTTGGGTAAATCCAATATATTTTATTAGACCAGTTCAAATAGTTGGAAAAAAAATTCTTTGCAAGCTTTCAGATGCAAACACTCTTCATCAACCTGACAAAGGGTTTTTGTTCCCTAAAGCTTGCAAAGAAGAATTTTTCCAACTATTTGAGTTGGTCTAATAAAAGAGATCAGATTTACCCGAAGAACCTTGTCTGTCTTGAAGGCTTTAAGAAATATTTAAGAAAAATGACTGCCTGACTGTTTTTTATTCTCTTCAGCTTGATTTCTGGCTGCACCCCTCGAACCCAGCACTTCCTGTGGATATCCGAGTCCCCTTTGGCAGCCTCCAAGCAGTCAGAGCCTTCCTGGGGTACCACGATATCAAGTACTCTATTCTGATTGAAGATGTGCAGGTAGAAAAACTTCATTGATGCATGATTTATCCTGAAATCTTGTGAAAAACAACTCCTGATCTCACAACCTGTAGCTCTCTGTACTGCAGGATCTGGTCAAAGTTCTTACCTTCATACGGACAGCTGTCCCTTTCCTGTTCTTTGTAGACTATGCACTAGGTTATTCATAACTTAACCAGTTTTCTTAAGAATGATGTTGGCACCTGTCAAACCATGACAGCCCAACAGCAGCATGTGAAAAAAAATCTCTCCATTGGGGACAGAACTGAGAGACCTGTAATAGGATTGCCAACTCTGGATCTATTCTGGGAGGTTTCCAGAACGCCAATGTGGCCGCAACACACGATGTGAACGTGCCCACGTGCTTGGGTATACCAATTATGGTGCGCCGACTTTATGTCAGGAAGGCAAATGTATATTATTATTACATTTTAAAATCCCCATGACTACTGTATAACATTTAATGTTTATTTTAACGAATGCCCTATCATTTATCTCCTGGGTGACCCTCAGCAATCTCCCGGAGATTTATATCTAAGTCTTGGAGACTGCAGGGCAATCCTGGAGGGCTGACAACCCTAACTCTTAAAGGAGCAGTTCCAACCTAAGACCTAACTAGCTATTAACTCTCTGCGGTAGCAACATGCTCCTTTTCCAGACCTGCCAACACTAACTTCATTCATCGTGAATGTGGGTCTAAAACCTAAACTTGTGATTTAAATACCAGTGATGTTATCTATTTTATAGATGAATTCAGCAGAAACAGCTATTCTGCAGTTGTGGGTAGTACCTGGGATTGTCGATAAGAGGTTTTGTGGAATGTCCCAAGGTTGACACTTGATTATATTCCTGCCAAAACCCCCAGCTTTTTCCCTAAACTTGGATGGTTTGTTTTAGGTTATACTAAATGAAGAAAAGCAAGAGATGATCTCCAACCAACGAAGGGAACGTAGTAACAGTAATTTCAACTATGGAGCTTATCATTCCTTAGAATCCGTAAGTAGTTCAAGTTC